GTAGTAAGAATATTATAAGTTTGTAGCTAGATTCTCCAATCTCTATGGGACGATATCATAAACTATACTAGAATTTGACAGAATACGAGCAGCAAAATCTTATACCCATTGGCCTCGTCACTTATGACAGGAAACACTACTTCCTTACAGTTGTTGATGACTTCTCAAGGGCTACTTGGAATTTTTTGATGCAGTTTAAGAATGAAACTATCATTTTTTTGAAGCAATTTTTGTGCATGGTTAAAACACAGTTTGATACTTGTGTTAAGATCTTAAGAACTGATAATGGGACAGAGTTCTTTAATAAACAGTGGAATGATCTTTTGAAATCACAAGGAGTTATTCATCAAAGTAGCTGTGTCTATACCCCTCAACAGAATGGGGTAGTTGAGAGAAAACATAGACACATAGTTAACACTGCTAGAGCTTTAAGATTTCAGAGTAATGTTCCAAGTCACTTTTGGGGGGAATGTGTACAAACAACAGTATACATCATAAACAGACTACCCTCTAAGATCTTAGATGGAAGGAGTCCTTTTGCTATGCTGCATGGTAGAGAACCCTCTATAGTTCATCTAAGAGTCTTTGGGTGTTTGTGTTATGCAACTAACTTGGTGATAGAGGATAAATTTGCTGCTAAAGCTAGAATAGATGTACACATGGGATATTCCACCACCCAAAAAGGATATAGGTTATATGATTTAACCACTAAATGTTTCTTTGTTAGCAGGGATGTATCCTTCAGGGAATCTGATTTTCCATTCAGGGAAATGCAACTGCATTCTAACCCATAGGACAATCTAGAGGCCAATTTTTTGCAGCTTGACTTACCAACTTCTGATGCAATTGGACCAACAATCATGGATTCAGAGGACAGTCAAGTCTCACATGAAGGACCAGGAGATGAACATGATGCAGATGAACCAGTGGTGAATATTCAGGATGCAGAAGCACACACTGATCATGTTCAGTTAGATGACATTGTTATTCCAGATGTTGTTGCTCCAAATGCTGAATCAAGCTCCAATGTATCTGATAGACAGTCTGTGCCTGGAAGACAATCTCAAAGAGTGAAACATCCTCCTATATGGCAAAAGGATTATGCGGTGCAACTTCAGAAATCATCACAATGCAGTTATCCAATATCTAACTTCCTGTCATATGAAAAAATGTCTCCTAAGTACAAGAGTTATGTCTCTATCTTCTCAGTGTTAAGAGAACCTTATACCTTCAAGGAAGCTGTCCAAGATGAGAGGTGGATCACTGCTATGCGACAGGAGGTACAAGCTCTAGAGGACAACAAAACATGGGAAGTTGTAGATTTACCTCATGGTAAAACTTCTATTGGCTCTAAGTGGGTTTACAAAATAAAGTATAAAGCTGATGGGGAAATAGAGAGGTTCAAAGCTCGACTGGTGGCTAAAGGTTACAATCAACAGGGGGGATTAGACTATCATGAGACCTTTTCACGAGTAGCAAAAATGGTGACAGTTAGGTCTGTGATAGCCATGGCAGCCTCAAAAGATTGGACTTTATACCAGATGGATGTGTTTAATGCCTTTCTTCAAGGTGACTTATTTGAAGAAGTGTATATGGACTTGCCACAGGGATTTCGAAGGCAGGGGGAGCAGAAGGTATGCAAACTGCTAAAGTCCCTATATGGCCTCAAACAGGCCTCTAGACAATGGAATCTGAAACTCATAGAAGCCTTGGTGAGTGCAGGTTTTGTACAGAGTACTTTTGATTACTCTATGTTCACAAAGAAGATAGGAACAAATATTGTGATCATTCTTATCTATGTGGATGATCTATTATTGACTGGGAGCAATAAAGAGTTGATTGATGAAGCTAAGGCAGCTCTACACCAGCAGTTCAAACTTAAAGACTTGGGAGAATTGAGATAATTTTTGAGGATTGAAGTTCTGAGGTCTAAGCATGGGATTTTACTTAACCAAAGAAAATACTCTTTGGAACTTATATCTGAGCTAGGACTGAGTGGTGCCAAACCAGCTGTGACACCTCTTGAGATTAATCAGAAACTTACAACAGTTGATATAATGAAGCTGTTGGACTTAAGGAAGCAGACTCCTTGACAGATATCACTAGCTATCAAAGATTGATAGGGAAACTTCTCTATCTTACTGTTACTAGGCCTGATATCAGCTATGCAGTGCAGAGTCTAAGCCAGTTTATGAAACTACCTAAGAAGTCCCATATGGATGCTGCTCTTAGGGTAGTGAGATATCTCAAATCTGCACCAGGCATGGGTATTTTGTTAAAGAGAGGGGAGGTGGATACTTTGACTGTTTTTGCGACTCAGACTGGGCAGCATGTCCAATGACAAGAAAATCTGTTAGTGGTTATGCAGTCAAGTTTGGTGATTCCTTAATATCATGGAAGTCAAAAAAGCAGCACACAATGTCAAGGAGTAGTGTAGAGGCACAGTATCGCAGCATGGCATCAGTAGTTTCTGAAATTGTGTGGCTACTAGGCTTGTTCTCAGAATTAGGAGTTTCTATTGTGCGACCAATCTCATTGTTCTGTGACAGCAAGGCAGCAATGCAAATAGCCGCCAATCCTATCTTCCACGAACGCACCAAACACATTGAGATTGATTGCCATTTCATTCGAGAGTACATCAAAAAAGGACTACTTACTACTCAATATGTCTCGTCTAAGGATCAGCAGGCTGATCTTTTTACCAAAGGCTTACCTTCAGGGCAACATCATTTTTTACTAGGCAAGCTAGGCGTCTTGAACATTCTTCATCCACCCGCTTGAGGGGGAGTATTGGAAGTATTGGAAGTTACTAGTAGTTGGACTTAATTAGTTTGTTAATCTAATTAGTTAGGACAAAAGTGTAAATGTTAGAACTTAGATAGGTCATAGTTATTATTCTGTGAGGTTGTATATATGAGTTAGTTACTACAGTAATAAGGTAGTTGGAAAATTCCCAAAACACTATCTTATTCTTCTTCACGTCAAAGCTCTCTCTAATGGCCGACTTTTGACAAGTTTACATTACACATTTCGTTTCTCTGTGAAGTGAAAATTTAGAACTATAGAAAAGAAAATTTACATTACACATTTTGTTCCACGAATTCTGTAATTATAGAACTATAGAAAAGAACATATTTGTTTTTTGTTTGAAATTGTTTTTTAGAAAGTTTTGTATAATTTGGAATAGAATTATTGACATTTCACCTTCTTTCGGCACTAGATCCAATACTAGCCAAATGAGAAGCAACTACGATCCAGTTCAACAATTTTGAAAATTTTACCTCCTATACCAAAGCTTTACACCCTATTTATTATAAATAAAAACTTTTTTAATATATTATTTTCTATAGCTACCTTTTAGTTTTTATAGCAAAATATGTATTTATGGTTACTTCCTACAATTAAGCCATCAAACACTCTCTCTAATATTTTTCTCTTTCATTCTTTATATAAAACTACCTCCTTATTAAATCATAGCGTATGTTCTTTTCAAACTGATCAAACTAATTTGCTTCATTCTCGGATTGCAACTCTTGCTGATACGTTCCTGACAAATTTGGACGAATTGTCCGATTCAGATACAGAGTTTCTGATCACTGATAAGTTTGTGTTTCTCTGAGTATTTCAGAAGCAATGATGTAGCTGAGATTTCGCACAAGGTAGCGCTAGGTAATACAACTTCGACTTCAAAAGCAAATCCTCGGATTCGTCAATTTTGACCGCTGTTGATGTCTCGTTCCCGGAGGATAGATCACAATCTCGTCGTACGAAGAGTTATTCTTGTAATCAGATGTGTTTATATGTATTCGATAAGGCATACACTGATTTTTATTTTATACAGTGATTTTTGACTGTTGTATTTTGATGTATTTATATGTATTTGAGTTCATACTACAACAAATACATTATTAGTTTTAACTGTATTCATCTGTATTTTCAACCTAACTGTATCCATCTGTATTTAAAACAACAATACAAAGAAATACAGTAAAATACTCTTAATATAAATAGAAAATCAATGAATACAACCACTGAAATGTATTTAGATTGTAGTCAATGACTTTTAGATGTATTTAGATTTTGTTAGAGAAACATATATTATGAATACAACAAATTGGTGAAGAGGTTGTAAGCATATACAACGGAAAAAAAAGGATGAACTAAATTTTGAATATTGCTCTGTTTTTGGGTGTTTTTCGTCTTAGAAATCTTTTTCTTAACTGGATTAATAATTTTGCGTGTTATAATTGAGTTTGTTGAGTTATATTAGGAGTCTATCACATTATTTGATTCATTTTTCGTTTTTAAACCGCTGGAGATGCCTATTTTTACGCTGTATCGATGAATACATCTCGTGAATACATATGAATACAGCGAATGATAGTTGGTATGCCCTATTTTTTTGCCTAGTTTTGCTATTGTATTTGTGAATACAGTAGCTTGAATACATCAAATACATTCCATAACAATTGAAAAGATAGCTATAGGAAGTAATTAAGTAAATGGTAGCTATAACAAGTTAATAGCCACTAAACAATAGTGGTTTCTAAAAATTTCTATTTATTTTAACCAAACAAAAGTGTAAAAATAGCACGGGCTAGCCAGTTTTCGGACTGGTCATTCAAAAATAGCCAGCGTTTGCAAAGTCATTGAAAAATAACCACTATTTTGCTGCAACACGAAAAATTCCAGCATAATATACTGGAGATCGGTGCACCTGTGTATGATCTTCCAGTATATTATGCTGGACTGGTATATTATACTGGAGTTCCAGTATATTATACTGGAATTCCAGTATATCATACTGGAGTATTTTTCCGGATTTTGAACAGTGTTTTCCTTTAGATTTATCTTTACATGAAAAGTGGCTAAATTTCGATGAATTTTGAAACTGTGGCTATTTTTGAATGACCACTTGTAAATCTGGCTATTATTGAATTTCTCCCAACAAAAGATACATAGAAAACTTCCAGACGCAGGTTTTATGTCATTCACTTGCATGCAGCCGAATAAAAGGAACTTGAAAAACTGAGGAAAATAAATTGTTTCCCTGTGGTCAAAAAGGCACTATTTGGACTGCAGTCTACAAATCCAAAACCAGTGACCTAATGAATGCAGCAAAATTAGGTTCTCATTTTCTTCTTTTAACTATGTCAAGAAAAGGAAAACGAAAAGACAGTTTCCTCACAAGTATGGATCATATCTCTGATCCAGCACCCTTAACATGTTTGCCTATAGTTTTGACAGGAAATTTGAAGGAAGAACAGAAGCGATTAAGTAGCTTGAGAAACCGAATGAGAATGAATAACATCTTCTATTGGGGTTGGAAGATCAAAAGCCCAAGCGCCCAGATGAAACAAAAGGAAGACAGCAAATACTGTTCATGTTTGACCTGCAGGAATGTTCCATGCATTTTTTGGTTAACCAAACATTCATTTACAAGGGTTAAAATATGAATAAACTTAAAATTAGCATATCTCATTCCTAACCGCGAAGCAGTAATTCTCTCAGGCTAAAGGTAATAAATATATCTACAGAGCATTTATGCTAACAAATGGTAGTTTCACAACCCCATGAATTAGAGAAACAATGTTTGACAACCTAAATTGTTTGTTCCGAGTATGCCAAACATGAAACACATAAAACAAGGAACCAAGCAATTCATTCTATCATTGGGGTAAAATGCGACACAATGGGGAAAGTTTCCTATGTTTAATGACAATATAGGTCTACTACATTTTATTGGATGAACCAAATCCTTTGATGATCAAATGAGAACAGGGTGAAGAAGAGAGGTCACAAACGCATTCTCTAGCAGGTAACTTATTTTTTTCACTGAAGAAAGATGCTTCCAAGGAAATAAGATAGCAAACAAGATATTGATTTGTTCCAAGGGTTTAGGAAGTAAGCGGATTAGGACTAACTCCTATGCAAGGGATTAGATAATATGCGCTGGATGGAGACAAAACAATATATTTTCAAATAAATAGGGATGTTGTTCAAGCAAAGATACAATTCTCGCTTCACCCAAAACAAAGCAAGAGCAGGAACTAGTTGTGTCGCAGGGTCTATTTGTTTTTTTCTTTTCATGATAATAGCTACCTAGCACTTTCATGAGCGAGTTTCAGTCTAATATATGCAAATTAATAGGTGAAAATTTGTGTTTCTTCAAGTCTATAAGATGACTAACTTATAACCCACTTAATAAGAGACAGAAGCATGAGGCTTTAGAAGTATGAGAAATACACCCTCTGGAAACCACATGGACAGCAGTATCACGAGAATTGTACCAAGGCATGAAGAATCTAAGAAAACATGATGTTCAACAAGTCTAGAAGCTTCTGAGAATGAACACAAGCAGCAAAGAAGATTACATATACACAGTGATGGAGAGCATGTAAGTTGAGGCATTGAGAATAATTGTTACATTATTTAGGTTCTCAGGCAATTGCGGGTCATCGTTACCTATTTTCCATTTACATAATCCAGAAGTCTTTTGTCAAGCTCAAAACGGCCACAAAGAAGTTTCTGCAATAAAGAACTTGCAAATGTCATCAGCACAGAATTCCAGCATTAACAGAATACAGATAACTGAAATCTCGAGAAGGAAAAGTTAAAGCTGATTCTAAGATGCCAAATTCAAGTACCTCTATTTTCACTAAAGAAGGAATAAGGTATTGCTAAGTATCATGCTTCAGAACAAACAAATATAGCTCGAGAGCAAAACTAACCTTGTTTTCTCGCCACTAAATTTAACAATCACAAGGCTGAACTGTCTATGACTCTATTCACTATGCTTTACTTTCCTATTTGTTAGTTGTTTATCTCTTTCTGTTATTTCAATTTTTTTTTTCAAAATATTTTTAAATAATTTAATTGTGAAGTTTGAAAAACCAAATATTCAAAGTAAACACACATATATATAATGCTGACGGATTGAGTGTGCAAGTAGGTCAACAAGCTCAGAGAAATATTTCTTTGATAAAAGATTCGCAACAATCGCATAAAAGAATCACTTGGAGATCTAAGGTGGTATAAGGCTAGGAAGAGGGAAGTGCTCTATTGTCCCATTCCACGTAATTGCACTGGTGGAGGAGAAAAAATATTAATGCAGAGTTATTTTGGCAGAAAGCCTCATATTGTGGTTGTGTTTGATCTTTTAGTAGAATTTATTAAAAGTCAAAAGGATTATTGAAGTCATATATTAGAATGTATCTGAGATTCATAACATCTTATATTCATTGAACTAGGATATCAGATATATCCTGTATTTACTTGGAATATTTACTTGCCTTGTCAGGAGTAGAGAAGAATTATTTAACATATTGTTGCGACAAAAATTAGTTGGACCAGATTATAAAGTATCCCACATCTTCACCAGCACACAATTACCTAATTTGTGATCAGATGTTAACTGGGAGAATGGGACTCTACTTATCTTCTACGGGTTCCCAGGCTTACTCAATGAAGGGTTCACTAAACGAGTCATGTATGAAAGCTTTTTGTAGGGAACTGGACTTAGGCTAACATTGGCTAGTCCCTAAGACTAGGAAAGCAATAAGGGGATGCAGGAAAAAAAAAGGGAAAATAGTTGGAGCCAAGTGAATTTCACTGATCAGTTCAGTTGTGCATATTTACTATATCCAGAACTGTGCAAGATGTGTTATACAAGAAAAGATTAGTCTTTAGCAGGTTCAATCTATCATCCAAGCCCGAGATGGTTTCAATGAAACACAAATTATAAACGTCAAATATACGGAAACAGAAAAAGGCACAAAGTGGAAGCAAACAGTTTAAATATGCAATAGGATATATGAGATCCGCTTAGAAAAAGAAAAGGAAGGCAGACAAAACTGTTGCACCATATGGTAGCAGAGAATACCTTTGTAATGGTAGGACCAAAAACATATGGCTCAGAATCAAACTCTGGAAAGCGTGCAACCTCTATAGCATTCTCAAATAGAATGTACACTGGAAGTTGGTTCAAGCTTCCTGCATTAGATCTCCAAATGAACCAGTCAATAGAAAAGTCAAACAAAACAGGATTAGCACTTCAACACCACAAAACCAATAAATCCAGCTCACATAACACATGTAACGGTAGAGAAAACAATAACACACCAAGAGGAATGCCAAATTTTTCAGCAGCATTAGGGAAGAGTCCCATATCAACAGTCCCAAAAGATAAATTTGCGTTTGAGTATCTGTTCAAGAAAATATATAAGGCAGTGCATTTCCAACCAAAAAAGAAGCTCTCAAAAAGTTCAAATTTGGGTGAACAAATAACTAACTTCACTTCATAAAATGCCTCTCTTAAGTTTGTATGATAGTTTTGATCATAATGGAGCATAGCACTCACGTTATTGAGAGTTCTGGAAAAAAGGAACTTGTGCATACACAAGCCGGTGTGGAGAAAGCACGAAATTCGACCTGCCAAAGGTGACTTTCAGTAAAGTATAAGAGGGAACAAATACGGAGATTGTATTAGTTATACATTCTAATCAAGCAGCATGCTTGCTCTATTTAGCACCATCTACGCATTCATTTACTGTAATTTTGAAAGAATTTAAACTAAATTTGCTAGTTTGCTTCTGTAATAGATACGCGGAAGAATCTGAAAATAATAATAGATATATGGAAGAATAGGGAGAGTATGAATTGACGGAGAACACTTGGGCACAACAAGAATAAAGCTAACAACATAATGCTGACAACCTTACAGAGCCAAGAACATTCAAAGTTTGTTTGCTCAACTACTCGAGGAATACAGGATAGTGCAAAAGCTTATATAGCAGACAGGAGATTTTCAAAGACCAGGTATTTGTAAGTTTCTGTTCACACAAATACCTTTCAAGAGTATGCACCAAATCTCCTAAGCATTCACAATCATCAAAATAGAAACATTTATACTTTTTTACCTTCAGAGGGCCACAACACTAAGTAGAAAATACGGATAAAAAACTGCAGAGAACCAACCAGCCAAAAGCGTGATGTATTCCCTTCAGTAAGCAAAGTCTCCAACTGCAATGGTGTCAAATGATTTGAAGAACCTGGACATTTACATTAACACTCAGTGTACCTTTTTATTTTATTTTAAGCACACTCCGTGTACCTTATTATGCTAAGATAACTATAGAAAAAACTATTGTAGCCTCACAGGAAGCTTATCCAAGTATGGTAAACCAAACAATAGGAGTAGCAAGAGTACCTAGTCCTTCATATGGAGGCTGCTGCGCTATAATGTGTATAACTGGAAGGAAGAAATCGACACAATGAAAGAATTAGATAAAATTACCAAGTTTAGACGATATTCTCAAATAACCTAACAATGAAATTGGAAAGGTTAAGAAAGTCAGTAAGTCATCCATCTACTAAATAGATTCCTCATAGTGCTTATACATGGATCACATTATGACAACAATCATAGTGCTTTTTAACCTTCCCATCAAATTTCAGCTAGATTTATCGGAAACTGAAAACTAGAGTAGGACCCACCTAAAAATGCCAATGTGTACCAGAGTGCCAAGTGATAATCCAAAACTAAAGCAATGGCGGTAAGGAAAATCTGAAAAGAAGCAATTTTGAGTTAAATATTACCAAAGTAAATAATAAGAATTTAATGGAAGCTATAAAGGAACACTTGGCTGCAAATGGTAATGAAACTTAAAACCAGATTTCCCATAATAAATTTGATGTTCAAGTATGCACACACTTAGTAAGTTAAAGATTTGCAAATCAAGTTATCAAAAAAGCAAAATATTTTGCAAATTAGAAGTAATTCGTTCTGAACAAAATTGAGTCATATTCAGTTATTTGAAAACATATTATGCATCGTGATGACAGATAGCAGAATAATATGAAGATAAAGGGAGTAAAAGAACAGATATAACCTTAGCAAAAAATAAAGTATCATGAATGAAGGATTCCCAGCTTTCTGTCTTTACAATCTGTCATGCATAAAAGTAAAACAACAATGTCAATTCAACAAGTATACATAGATTTCTCCTTTTCAGGTCACAATTTTTACCTTCACAACAGCCAAGACGCAGTATGCAACAAACACTTGAATTTCCTGCCAATGAAACATCAAATTGTCAGCATATGCACAAATGAAAGTATGAGTGAGTAATAAACTGAAACTACCCCAAGGTGTGGCTTAGTGGTCAATGCAATGGGAGAAAACTATAGAGGTCTCAGGTTCAAATCCTAGCGAAGTCAAAAAACACTAGTGATTTCTTCATATATGCCTAAAGCTTGGCGCACAAGTTACCCAGTACTTGTGCTGCCGATGGGAGGTAGCACATACCCGGTAGGATAGTCAATGTGAAAAATTTTCAAACAAGTATATTACATAGGAAAATCGTTGTCAATCTGTATCAATATGGCTGTACATACATAAAAACTTATGTAAATAAAGTGAGACTCAAGTAGAGAAAGGGAAAATACTCGTTTAAGAAGGAAAGAGTTGCGAGCAGGAGAGAGGAGCTGAGAAGCGGAGAATCGAATAGGGATGTAGGAGAAGAAAACGAGCAAGTGAAATAGGTAGTAAGGCTCCGACACCATCCGATTTAAAGATCTCACTGGATCGTAAGTATATTCCTGATTTCGTTGAACACACGGTCCGCCATTGTTGTTTTTTGACATAGCTTTTGCTTATGCCAATGATCCAGCTTCAACTGGGAAGAAATCTAAAGGCACCCAGCTTGATTAGATTTTAGAACTTGACCCAGTTACTAAAGTGAGAGTTATTTGCATTTTGCACCCTAATGTATGCAAGCTTTTTAATATTGTACCCTATTCTTTTATCTTTTATTATTAACTCCCTAACATATCTAATTCGTTGCTAAATTATAGTAGAACTTTATTTTTCTCGAAAATTAAGTAATTTTACACATCAACATAACACATTATTCAAATGTACTTTAGCATCTTGTACAATCCAACATGAATAGAAAATCTAGCTAAACTATGAGCTATTTTTGCTCAAACTTCTAGTAGTATATACAAAATCAATATGATCAAGCAAGTTGGTTAGCTCCTAAATATCTTCCCATGACACTTCTATCTCTCGTAAACGGGCTACTCGTTTCTGTCTTATGGTCAGATAAAATCTTGACAGTCTTCCAAATAGCACTAATAGCACATTCAAAAGCCTCATTTCTATCTCTCATGAAGTAGCTAGTCGTTTCTTGATTATATCGAGAACATTCTTAGGGTAAGATAAAATCTTCACATTCTTCCAACTATTACTAAAAGCACGTTCAAAGCGTTTTTATAGCAAGCGCTTCAGCAGTCATGACTATCCAAAGCCGCAACACCAATATTGTCCTCCTCTATCATCAAGAAAAAGCATACATGATTCAATCAACCAAGACAAATTATTTAAATGGGAACAAAGAAGGGGAGGGGAAAGGGAGAGAAATGGAAATCCAAGTAATGGATTGACATCCATATTTGGGTATGATCCTGTCAGAATAAATATTACATCTTGTTTAATTTTCCTTGATAACTTCAGCTGTACAAATATAGATTGCCTAAGTAGTATTTTCTGCGGACTCCATATTGAGGAATGAGGATTGTATAGGGTCAATTTTGACCCTCAGCATTTCTACGCCAGTGGGTACGCCCAGTGAGTGTACGCCGACTAACGTAGCGGGTATGACTCGGACGTGGGGATAAAAGCGACATCGTTTAGGACTCAGTGTCTTCATTAGGGAGACGTTACCTGTCTTTGTAACTTTTTGATTCTTTCGAGGAAGGTCTCTTATTATATAAAGGAGACCTTCACATTGTAAAAGAAAAATTCGGATCTAATACAACTCTCTTATTTTTTGGCTTTCTCTCTCTATCTCTATCTCAAACGAACATATCTTATTGAGTTCATATTATCACTTTGCAATACTAGATCTACAACAATAATATCGTCTTTGCATCTCTAGGTTTATTATATTTGATTACGATTTACCCTTTCCTTACTTTTGATTGTTTTCTAGCTTACAAAGTATATTGTTAACTTTTGAGCCAAACAATTTGGCGCCGTCTGTGGGGATTTCGAGAATCAAAACCATAGTATCCACCTAGAGATCAACCAACTACCATTCTCTACACCACACAAAAATAGAAAATGGCCGAAAATAACACAAGATCGAAAGCTATATTGGGTGTCACTACCAATCTCCTTGGCCCTCTCAACGAGGCCAGTGACGATGGCATCCTGAATGCAACCCCTAGCATCACACCGGGTGCAGAGATCTCACCTTCCCCATTCAAAGGTCTGACGATCTTGCACGAAAAAGGAGCTTCCACATCTGCGGCTACGGAAGCACCTTCCGCGGTCAAGGAGCTACTGGAAAGATGGCTAACAAGCACTCTAAGTGGCTTGGTTGAGAGGTCACCACAAAGTAACATCGGGTGTACACCAACGGTAGGTACCACTGCTGCCGTGGGTGAACTGGAAGTTGCACTAGCGAATAACAAACCCATCGAGACACAGACCAGCGATAGCACGCTAACAGCCATCCTAAAGAAGATGGAAGAAATGGAAAATGAAAACAAGGCGCTCCGCGGTCAGATGAAGGAACATCAGGAGAGGGTCGACAAGATCCCCGGTGCTCCCAAGTTGCAACCAAAACGCGACGTGGGAAGGTTCGTTGAACAACCATACACTGAAGAAGCTGCCCCTCACTCCACCCCAAAAACCTTCAAGATGCCACCCTACTTGAGGGTATATGACGGAACCACAGATCCCGAGGATCATCTGATCCACTACGTCACCGCTGTGAAGGGCAACGACCTATCAAAAGAACAGGTACCGTCGGTACTGCTGAAGAAGTTTGGCGAGACGTTGACAGGAGGGGCCTTAACATGGTACTCTCAGCTACCGGCTAAGGCAATATCAACGTTCGAGGAAATGGCGGATAAGTTCGTCACAGCCCATGCAGGCGCGAAGAAAGCGGAGGCCAGGGTCAACGACATCTTCGCCGTCAGGCAAACCACAGGAGAGGGACTCAGGGACTTCCTGGCAAGGTTTAACAGGGTAAGGATGAGTCTACCAAACGTATCGGAAGGTATGGCAGTCGCCGCTTTCCAGAACGGGCTAAGCAGGGATGGTTCGAGGGCAACCAAGAAGCTGCTGAGCCGCCTCATGAAATATCCCCCTACCACATGGGAGGAAATCCACAACGCCTATTGCGCCGAGGTACGAGCGGACGAGGACGATCTTAATGGGCCGACCCAACGGCTAACAGCGATACACTCAGAAACGAGGAGAGATCGACGGAACGAAGGACGACGAGAACAACTCCCCCGCTCCAACTGAGATCGACATCAGCCATACACCAGATCCTCCCATCCGCCACCAAGGCATACAGACGCGCTACAATGACACGTCGCCCCACTCCGAAACGAAAGAGGTACGCCCCCCTTATTAACCTCCCATAACTTTTGTGTATCTCCTTCAGAAATAGTGTACGCACTGGAGAACATGGGCACCAAGGTGCAGTGGCCGCAGAAGATGAAATTAGACCCTGCCACAAGGAAATCAAACGCCCTATATGAGTTCCATCAGGAACGGGGACACAAAACCGAAGACTGCATAGGCCTACGGCAAGAGGTGGTCAGGATGCTGAACCAGGGATACCTGAGGGAGTTACTCAGTGACAAATGGAAAACCAACTTTGCACGCGGACGAGAACAACCCCACGGGCCGCCGAAGCCACCGTCCCCAGCGCGCACGATAAACATGATCGTCGGAGGCGGCGACGATTCCGTGATCAATCACGTCAAGTTCGCCACCACACACAGGCTAAAGCGGACCATCGCCCATGAACAGTATGACGACTTCGAAGATAGTATCACCTTCGATAAGTCTGATGCCGATGGTTTGTCTTTCCCTCATTATGATGCTTTAGTTATCACTTTACGTATCGCTGATACGGATGTTAAAAGAGTCATGATCGATGATGGAAGTGGCGCCTGTATTATCCACCCAAGGGTCATCGTACAAATGGGACTCGAGAATAGGGTAATACCGCGCTGCATAACACTAACCGGTTTTAACAATGCAGTGGAATGGACATCCGGAGAAATAGCACTGCCAGTCTTAGTGGGAGGAGTCATGCTGGAAACAACTTTCCACGTGATGAACCAAGAAACGGCATACAACGTCATCATAGGACGCCCGTGGATACACGCCATGCGAGCGGTCCCTTCAAGCCTCTACCAAGTGATCAAATTCCCTACCCCATGGGGAATATTTAGTATTCGAGGCGAGCCACGCACCGCACAAGAATGCTACAAAATAGCCCAAGACTGCGCCCACACCCAACAACTAAAGGGGGCGAGCGCGGAGGCATAGCAATTAGCCGTGTCGGGGACTAAGGTCAACCCGACAACAGACGCCATCAAAGACCCCGATGTCGTGGAGGCTTGTAAAGCAACGGTCGAAGATCTCGACCCAGTCCAATTGGACGAAACCAATCTTACTAAGGAAGCCTATATCGGGCACAGTCTCGCCAACCCAAGTAAGTATCGTGAATTCTTAACTAACCATGCAGATTTGTTCGCCTTTTCCCATTCAGATATGCCGGGAATCCCACGAGACATCGCCACCCACAAGCTGAATGTCGATCCACTACATCCGCCCGTGCGACAGATGAGGAGAAAATTCAACACCGCTATCAATGAAGCGGTCAGTAAGGAAGTAGACGAGTTACTGGCCAACGGCTCCATCAGAGAATCAAAGTACCCCCAGTGGGTCGCCAATGTCGTCATGGTCAAAAAGAAAAACGGGAAATGGAGAATGTGTGTGGATTTCACTGATCTGAACAAAGCATGCCCAAAGGACTCATTCCCACTACCCCACATCGACCAACTGATCGACACCACTGCAGGACATGAACTACTGAGCTTCCTAGACGCCTACTCCGGCTACAATCAAATCATGATGGCCGAGGAGGACCAAGAGAAGACAACTTTCATCACCCACCAAGGGACTTACTGCTACAAGGTAATGCCCTTCGGGCTCAAAAATGCAGGGGCTACGTACTAGAGACTGGTCACCAAAATGTTCAAAGAGCAGCTCGGTAAGACTATGGAAGTCTATATCGACGACATGCTGGTGAAGTCGACAAGAAAAGAGGACCACATCGACCATCTGAAAGAAACCTTCGAGAAATTGAGAAGGTACGGGATGAAACTGAACCCCGAGAAATGCGCCTTCGGCGTGACTTCAGGAAAATTCTTAGGGTTTCTCGTATCACAACGAGGTATCGAAGTCAATCCAGATCAGATCAAGGTGATAGATGCAATACCCGAGATACTGAACAGCAAAAAGCAGGTGCAAAAGCTGACGGCGCGAATAGCCGCCTTGTCTAGGTTCATCTCACAGTCCTCCGACAGATGCCATAAGTTTTTCAATGTGCTGAGAAAGGACAATGGGTTACGGTGGAATGAGGAATGCGTCGAGGCCTTAAGAAAATTGAAAGCGTACCTATCTTCGCCGCCACTGCTAGCCAAAGCAAATCCAGGCGAGCCCCTGCTGGTATATTTGGCCGTATCCGAGATCGCCGTCAGCGCAATCCTAGTTCGTGAAAACGAAGGTACACAATCTCCTATTTACTATATTAGCAAAACCTTAGTGGACGCAGAAACACGGTATCCACACCTTGAAAAATTAGCTTTGGCATTGGTCGTAGCTTCACGGAAGCTCCGA